GGGTTATCACCAAGTCGGAGAGATGGATCAAACCCAAGCGGTATAGGACGTCTACGTTCTTCACTCGTCCTCCACTTACGTAAAGCCTAAGCGCTTAAGCGGGTTATCACCTAGTCGGAGAAATGGATCAAACCCAAGCGGTATAGGACACCTACGTTCTTCACTTTCTTTCGAAGTACCTATTGTAAAAAAAATATATATATGTATAAATATCATCATATAAAATAAAATAAATAAAAAATGATCGAAAGAGTAATAGATGTGCGAAATTTAAAATAAATTTAAAAAAAAGGGTTATTTCGAGCTGTTTGCACCAGCCCAAGCAAAAGAAAGCAGCCAGTTTGCACACTCCTGCGCAGCCCAGCTCCAGCCAGCAAGGGCCATCGTCGCTTGCCCATGCTCCAACGCGCAGCCCATGTCGCGCTAGGCCCAGCCCGCGTCTCAACCTGCGCAGCCCAGCTTCTCTTCCTGCGCAGCCCACCCCTCATGCAAAGCCCATCGTTGCTTGCCCAAGCTCCAGCGCGCAGCCCACCATCTTCTCCTGGCCCACTCTCTCCAAGCTCGTGCCCACATCACGCACAAGGCCTGACGTCTTCTTGCCTTCACCTTGAGCCCAGCGCAGGTGGACTCGAACCTGCCAGCCCTTCCAAGCCTCCAGCCATACCGCCCAGGCCCTAACGCACACCTCTAGGCATGTTCCAGCCCTTTCACCCTCCAGTCTTGTTTCAAAAACAAAAAACAAAAACAAAAAAAAACTGACGCAAGAACATGATGAAACAAAGAATGGGTTCAAGCTTACCAACAAGTTTCTTGATAGACCAACATGTGGGTTCTTGCGGCTGTAGAAAAAAAAATATCAACGTTAGTTTTCTTTTTCAATTGCCGGCAATATATATATATATATATATATGTGAAAATCAGACATTGAAGAAAAAAAAGAGGACAACTCTTACCACTTTGATAGCTGAAAATTCAAGGATGCAAACTTCAAAGTTGTAGACCTTCTTGCCGACAAGAGGAGTTTTTCTGCTGTTCTATTTGGTTGATCTCAATATTCATGAACGTAGTGCAATTTAAAGAAGCCAAAGACCATCAAAGCTCCTAGTGGTGCTAGGGTTTCTTGTTCCTAGTTTAGGAAAATATTGGATTTTGTATCTTGATTCACAAGATCTTACCAATATTGGATATTATAACCCATTTAGTGTTTGCATGCTTTTCATAATAACTCTCTATTATGGGTTCTTGGAAAATAACTTGGAATTGGAGATTTATTTTCTGCGTTTTTGTATCCTAGACGACGGTCATTGGAGCAAATCGTCGTTTGTATTGTGAGTTTTTAAAGGGAAATGGTTTTGAGTAATGAAGCATGAGAAGAAAGGAATTTATAAAATATTTAGTTATATGTGTAGACAATGGAATTTTAGTGTAATAAATCCCATTGGACGAGAAAATAATTAGGGTTTGATGGATTAAATTGTGGGCCCCATAATTCGCCCGTGTGGCATGTGACTCATCAAAATTGGATTAGTTGTCAAAAAGTGACACGTGGCGACATCCGACGGAGTGCATCAAACGGTTCAAGATGAAGACAAAATTAAGGGAAAGAATCTTCTGTGGTTGACTTTGATTTAAATCAAATTAGGTCAATCAATTGAAGATAATCTGGTTAAATTGCCAGATTATGGGAATTGATTTAAATCAAATCAAAAGCCCACAAAACAATGTTTTAAATGGGGAAAGTTATCTAGGTTAAGCATCCTACAAGGGCCTATAAATAGGAGGCCTCAAGACGAAAGAAAGGAGAAAAAAAAAACCTAGCATTGAGAAGAAGCAGAAAACTCCCTGCATTCTTCACCTACACTTTGGAAGAGCCACCAAGCACAACAAATACGTGCCGGTTCCTCCACCTTAGAAAATCCCAAACATCAAACAAGCTTTGTGCTACCCATTTGATCAAGATCAAGTCTCTACGACCCTTGCATCAAACACAAATTTTCTTTATACATTTTGGAGATCGAATCAGAGGATTCAATACAGAGATTGTAACCCTAAATTTCATAAATACAAATATTATTTTGTACACGTGTTCTTGTCTCATTTGTCGCAGGAAATTCGTGTTTACAGATTTGGTTAATGTCAAGTACAGTATTCTATGACTCACTTGTCAAGTTGGGCATGTGAAACATCTTTGTGCCAACTTGAGGAGGAGTGTTAGCAAGTTCTTATTTACTTACGATTTTGGTTCCTACTATGTTAGGTTTTTTGGTTATTACTTACCTATGTATTTAGTACTATTCTAATTGATATTTATTTCTTAGTGTATTTAGGGTTAACTAATCTTTGTACCCTCCTTATAAATACCTCCATATTGGAGAAGAATGTATATGTGAAAATTTGCCCTACTTTGTTTGACTCTATCTTAATATGGACAGTGGTTCCTATTGCAATAAGGATTGCTAGAGAGTTTCTTGATGTACAAGACTCTTAGGTAGATGCATATAAATATATGTGCCACGACTTACCCGATCAATGTAACCGACACTAAAGTATTCGCCCAATCTATAATGAGTGTGTGAGGGGTCAGATTAAGGAGGAGATCTTGTATGTTCTAGATATTCCGACAACTCTAATGGAATACTAAAATACATGTGTTCTACTTATGTGAAGTCAATATAGTTTACATGTGGTGACAGAGCATAGGCTGCATATTTAAGAATCAAAAGAAATAACATGTTTCTTCATAATGAAGAAATTAGATGCAGTCTCCTCATGATTGCTCAAGTTTTCTGTTTAAAGTTTTCGTGTTTAAAATTTAACATAATTATATTATGATATTGCGGCTATAACATTAGTTTCATTGTTTTTGCTTATGCAAAAGAAAACAAAAGGTTGAATTAATGGTAGAGCAATAACGCAGACAAATTCCTAGTTTCACCTGTGGAATAACTTTGACTGGCCACTTAACCGTGGAAATGAAAATACACGATCCCATCACATTAACAAGATTCAACAATAGCAACACACAGAGACAGCTTCAGGAGTGGAATCCAGTTTTGCAGGACCCCGCTTCCTGAAGTTCTAATATGTATATGTACAGACACACAAAGAGAGAAAGAGGAGAACATCCTAAGCTCTCATTTTGTTTACCTCTATACAGTATTCAATCTTGTTTTCAATCAAATGATCCAAAATTTCTACACTTGACTTAAGGGACACAATGATCTAAGGATTGATCCCCAACAAAGGACAAAAAAAGCAATAATAAATGGAAGTATCGCAGAGAACTACAATAATAAAAATAAAAATATATGACAAGGATACTTGGGTCAATTGTAGCAGCCACGTTATCTGAGTCAACCACAAGGATATACTCCTTACCCTGAAAAGGAAAGTTGAAGAAGTTTAGGCAAGTTTACCTTTAAATACCTCCTCTCAACAAGTACTCTTTTCTTTTGTTTGGTTCAAATTCATGTTTCTTGGTAATTGAAATGAAAAGGAAACAAAACCATAAGGACATCTTCACAAGTGCATAAGATACAAACCTGTGATAATAGGACATCAAGAGTTCCACTTTTCATAATGGAAAGGAACACTGCACCATGGCCAGGATACCTTCACATAAGCACAAAAGTAGGGTATTGATTAGCAAAGTTATGTTCACTGTCAAAGGAAATCAATTTGTGATTGTGCAGAACCAACATATGAGAATTATTGGATGGTATATTTAGAAAAGGCATTTCTTAAAAAACAGACAAAATTAGAATGCAGAAAAAGAATTTCATGATGGTTATCACTGAAATCATGAACAATGCATGTTCTTGACAGATAGCTGCAAGAAGGTCAACATGATTCTTCACGTACATCATATTAGTATCTTAAAATGGCAACATTTATGAGCTTAGGTCCACTATTGTATCACAAAATAACTCAAGGAACATTGTAACCACCAAAAGAAAAAGTATACTATTGAACCATTAAAAGAAATAACAGAGGGATTTACTCTCAATCACAAGTTAATTGACTCAGGTTTAAAAGAAACATTTATATGAAACATATTCCTCTAATCAGATAAGAAGTCGGAAAAACACAACTTAAGTAATTATTCTTACTCCTGTAAATTAACTGAGTTAAAAGGGAGAAGGACATGTAGGCACTGTCCAGCAGCTAAACCAGACTATTGACAAATTCAAACAATTTTTTATTTTTTAGTTTCTATAGAAGTTAGTTCTTATGAGCCTGCTCTAAAGTTTTCACCAACAATTTTTTCAAAGGGCAGCATGGTTGTTACAAAATGCTTCACAAACTCTCACTTTCAACTGACAACTCAAATAGATTAGAAATATAGGAAACTGAAAATAATTAACTTGAGGAAACAGGACTACAACACTGCAGTCAAATCATAAAGCAATTACAGTACCCTCACATGAGTCATGAAGCTCTCAAATCTTAAGACAACCGCATCCTCAAAAAATTAATTCTATAATTAAAAAAGACTCATCATAATCATACAGTAAAAAGCACATAACCATGCTGTTAGATTTTTTACCAAACGAAGACAATTTCAAGAAATAACTACACGACACCACACATTGAAGTGAATTACAATCTCCAATGGGTACTAGGAATTATAAATAAAACCATGCATTCAACTCAGATTTTTTACCTGTTCTCATGATACAGGGAACTTAACCATTCATGGAGTAAAAGGGTGAAACCCTATATTCTTGACTGGCCTCAAAATTGGAGAACGGTGTCTTGCAGCCAGTACTGTACAGCATGACCTACAAAAAAGAAAAACAATTATGTCATCCCACCACTAATGACCAAAACCTGTTTAATTCAGAAATTCTCAATACCCAGTTGAAGAAAACACAATGCAACCAACCAACCAACCAACCTTGAAGCTTTTATAAACAAGACCCTTTTGAAATAACTGAGCAAGCCTTTATAAACAGAGCTTGATCCTCTGTTTATTCCATTGACGACCTGAAAATCAAGAAAGATCATTGATTGATCAAGAAATCTGAACAAACCTCAAATCAAACAGTTAGCGATCAATAATACCAAAGCAGGCTTTGACCACACGAACAATGCCCCTAATAATGCTAAAGACACACAATCTGCTGGCGTTCCTGATATTGATTATGCCCATAATCATATAATTAATATATAATTCCGGATTATATACATAAATGTACAATGAAAGAAAGAGAGATTACCGGAGACTTCAAAAGTGGTGGCGCCGCTGATTTGAGAAGAAGACACATAAATTGTCTTACGAACAGTTACAGAGTGACCGGCTACTGATCTATCCCTGCAGCAGCCAAAAAATTAAGCTTTTTATAATGATCTCCATATGTTTGATTGGTGAGAAAGTGGAAGAAAATACATGAGAAGGTGTGTTCCTAAAGAGAGAAACTAACATCAAGGCGATCAAATATCAGCCACAACAAACAGCCGAAGACAGAGTAAAATTAGAGAAATTACCCAATAAATTGAAATCCTAACTGAAATAATCTCACCTGGAGGACGACGACGACGAGAAAGAGGACTCCATTGAGGAAGAGGACAACGACGACGACGACGAAGGTTAACGAAGGGACTCCGATGACTCTTCTAGACAAGGAGGAGGACGTATATGGCTCTCTCTTTTAGGGTTTAGGAATAGATGACGGCAGAGATGGAGGACAGAGAAGAAATCGATGAAGAAGAGAGACGCTTAAGGTGAGAGGGATGATGTTATTGTTGATGATGCCTTATTTGATGTGAGAAGTGTGAGCCATTTACTAGAGGGATGCCAAATGTTGACACATTTGTGGGTGAGTTAGGGAGTTAAAATATTTGAGATAGGTGTGAAGATATATGGATTGAATGATGCTTATGTAATTGGCAGTGTATGACATTAATTTTGTAATATATTGTAATGTGATTTCTTTACTTTCATTATACAGGTTTTGGCCACAAAACAATCAGTGCAAAAATTGCTGGTTCCAGATTACAAACACGACGGTATTGATAAAAATGTGAAAAACAAACGTCTGTTCTAATAAAAAACGACGTTTTGGAGCATTCAACGACCGCAATATATTTACCGACGTCTTAAAGCAACGTAACAATAAAGAACCACGACGCTATTGTGAAACAGTTATTCAGGATATCACATCGGAGAAGCATAAAGAACCGCCATGTAATTCAAAATAACACGACTCCAATCCCATAATACCGACGTCTAAAAGACGAGATATCTAACCTGAACGTTACAAAAGACGACGTCGTCATAAATTTACCACGTCGCATGTTCTTTCATAAACGAAGTGGAAAAGGATGAATTCACGACGGTATTTGAAGTCCATTGGTAAATTTGTCAACGTTAAGATATATTTGGACGTCGTTTCTTTAAAAAAACAACGTTATATTGATGTATCAACGTCTCTTTTTTTATGATAATGTCGTTAAAATTGCTTTAAACTGCGAATTTCGGATAAACAACGCCGTCTAATATGAATTAGACGACGGTAATTTTGTTAATGATGACGTATAAATTATGAAACACGGCTGTCTTTTTCATGATAACGACGTTGAATATTGACGACAGCGTCGTCTTTATAAATTAATGTATCGTAATTAATGATCCCAACATTTTTTCCACGTCGTTTATTTTCATATCGTGTCATTAAAATTATTTTACACGGAGGTGGAATGAGAAACGATGTCGTCTCAGAGTCATTAGACGATGATTATATTTTAAAATATGACGTATAAATTTTGTAATACGGCTCTCATTTATTTGGAACCGACGTTTATGTAGTTCAATGTCGTCTCTGTAAATACATGCGTCGTAAATAATGACCCTAACATCTATTTCCACGTCATCATTCATAGAAAAATCAAAGTGGAAAATTTATTTCACGACGGTTGTTGGAAATGTAGTGACGTATTAGGTGTCAATAACGTCGTCTATTATGTATTTAAAGACGTCATATTTTTATTTGTCGTGAAAGGTATATTTAATGGCATTGAGTTTTAGTTCTCGTCGTTGTATGTGTATCTTGCGGCCATGTTCTGTTAATATATGTCATATGTTGCCTTTTTAACGACGTTTTTTTGTTAGAGTTGGTCGTCTATTCTCATCATCGACTATTTTTTTTTAATCTCTTTTTGCAGTACAAAGACGTCAGTTTTTATTTGTTGATGACGTTGTTTGTTTTAACAATGACGGGTATTTAGCGTCGTGGTTTGGTTAGGGAAAAGATGTCGGTGGATTCCACGATCATTTGAAAACGGAATACACGACGGTGAATTCCCGTCGTCTTTTTCCTTTTTTGTAGTAGTGCTTGCAAAAAATTAGACAAATCCAAAACTGTTTCGACATCCAAAATGGTAATATACTATTCTAATTGTAGGTCACTACAAGAATAATGAGGTCAAAAGTATATATCTCATGAACGTAGTTTGCATGTTGTCTTAGATAGTTCATCAACACGCATTGATTCAGATGTCCATACTTATTAAGCAGTGTTTGTTTTGGAGAGTGGATTATTTGAAAATGTTTGATTCATGAGAATTAGAAAAGGCGATTTTGAAAACTGACAATGAAAAGTTTTATCGAATATGTTTTCAGTTTTTTTTTTTATAATAAAAAAAGAGAAAATTGAAAAGAAAATAAAATGGTTATCAAACGGGTCCTAAAATTAATAACCAAAGAAGTTTTATGCTTTCAATTTCTTTGAACTGAAAACTAGACACTAAAAACAAAATACCGAAGTAGTTATCAAACGGGTCCTAATCTTTTTTTGAGTTTTTTTTCGTACCATCCTATTATTCACAAATTTACAACCAAATCACTTTCTTTTTTCAGACTCAACATAAAAAATAAATAAACGTAAGCATCAAGTTTCAAAAATCATAATCCCTTAACTGGAAAAGACAAAATCATAATCATCATCCCTAAACCTTATGACAAAGAATTACAAAACAAACCAATAAAATATGTAAAGGTATCTCGCTCAGAAAAAGACGAAACAAAAATATTTAGGGTCCGTTTGATAACCTTTAGTTTTTAATTTTTATTTTTTTAAATTAATAACTGACAAAAGTTGTTTGATAACTGATTTCAATTTTCAATTTTATGTGAAACATGGAAATGGAATTTTTTTGGTCAAATTGGACAAACCCACTTACTCTATTTACAAGGTAAACAAAATAACTCTTCTAGTTTTTACCACATAAATACCCTGATTCTGTATATGCTTAATTATTATTATTTTTATATTTAAAAAAACAAACAAACAAAAAAGAAGGGAAAGGGGAGAAAAGGACCAGTAAAGCTTGCACAAGATTTATATTTCCAGCAAATGTGAAGAAAAAAAAAAGGGGGCCAATATAAAGCTAGCATTTCTACTGAATTATATCCAGCAAAACTATACGGAGAAGAGAACGAAGTCAGAAAGAAGTATTTGAGAAAAACTCATCACCTGTGCAACATGTTCCAGAGAAATAGCCACAGGAGCAAATGGAGCCCGTACCTTAATCTCTGGACAACAAACCCACTTACTCTTTTTCAAGTGGAAAAAGAAAAAGAAGAAAAAAACTAGCCAGGTCCCACATCGACAAATTATACTTCGGTGGTGCTATTTATATAATCAGTTCCACGAGACTCCATTCCCGAGTCAAGTCACGCTGACTTATGACCCGAAGTGGGGGCAATAAGGATGGCATGGAAGGGAAGAGTGTGTAACGTCGTCCGCATGAAGTTGGGTACGGAGATTGTGGCGAGATTGTGGCCAGAGATGCTTTGAGGTTGGGGCGAGATTGTGGGCTTTTAAACCCCCCGTCGCAGAATGGAGAGTGGGAGAGGTGGCTTTGCAAAATGCCGCTTTGCCTGTCATTAGGTAGAGATCTTCCGTCGCTGACAACGAAGTAGAAAGGATCAACCGTCTTTAATTAAGCTAAAGAACGCTGGCTTATTAGAGCAGCAGATGGCGCTCCGTTTGTCTGTGCTTGGGTTCCACGTGCCGGCACCCTCTGTTAGGCTCCAGGCCCACTCTCACCCCACCTCCATCCTTTTTGTGCATCTTCTTTTGCATATTTTATGGTTTCTGTTTTTGGTTGAATTTACTCTGTTATCTTATTTATTCTATCCATTTTTATTTGTTAAATAGTTTATTTTATCTTTTTCCTTTAAAAAAAAATTTATTTTGTACAACATTTTTTTTCACATGTTTTTTGGTTTTTGTTTTTCGTTGAATTTACTCTGTAATCTTATTTATTCTATCCATTTTTATTTGTTAAATAGTTTATTTTATCTTTTTCCTTTAAAAAAAAAATTTATTTTTTACAACATTCTCCAATAAGTCGGATACTGGTCTTTCTCAATTGCGTCAGGTGTGTCACTACTATTATTTTTCTCTTCTAGTGGAAAGAGGTGAAGTATGGTGAAGTGAGGTAGTGAATGTGTCTTGTTTGATTTTAACCTCTAACCAAAGCCATTATGTTCCAAGTGAGGAATCTAGCTTGGATAGGTTCTTTTCTATGCATCAATTAAGAGAACTTCAAAATTTCAGTTGATATGAAATAAAACTTGGAAGAAATTGTGACTTTAAACTAATATCAGACCAAAAGTACAATAGAAGTTTAAAGATAAAGAGTGTCTAATGGACACAATGCAGTTATAAGAAAGCAAATACAAGTCTAAGTGGGCCTAAAAACAGTTAACTAAAAATAATAAAAGGTATAACAAGACCCAGGGGAACCCTATCATACATTAAAAAAAAACTCTTCTCGGGCACCATTGTAATCTACTTGAGATAGTACAATGTGTCCGATAAGAGATTTTCAACAGTATCTGCAGTATACAGAAAATGCTGCATATACGAATTTGATTTTAAAGAAGATGGAATTGGTGACCAACTTATAAAATCATACCAAGCAATAAAGTTGGCATAGCGTTAAAATTACAAAAAATAGCAATTTAATTCCAATTAGGAGTTGTCATCTGGGAATTAGACAAAGTATGTGTTTGGGAGAAGAATAGATTTCCAATCAGAAGTTGTCAATTGGGAATTCAAAGAGTATAATTGATTCAAGTCTTGGTGTTTGGTCTACTGTGAGAAGCTTTGGAAAGTGATAAAGTATATCCACGTCACTCTAATTTGTTAGTCTGTTAGAATGTGGTTAGGCTGATAAGAAGTGGTTATGTTGTAGGTGCAGATATATAAGCACTATAATGATGTAATTACAAGTTAACAAGTTAACAAGAGAAATAAGAAAATCAGTTTCTATGAATTCTCTCTACAATTCTTCTAAAGTTTTCATGGTATCAAGAGCCTAACAAAAACTTCTGTTTCTCGATCGTTTCTTGCTTCCGCTCTTTCTCTCTCTTGGTTTCTCTTGTCCATTCTTGCTCTATCTTCTTCTCTCTTCATTCTCTCTTAATCGAATCTTGCAACTTCAATCATGGTAACAACGGGTCAGTTAGCCCTAACTTAATCCCCAATTTCTTCCTTGATTTCTAGTGTTGGTAACACTATTTCTGTTAAACTAGATGATACAAATTATGTCACTTGGAACTTTCAAATGGAGCTCTTGCTGCGTGGAAATGGAATTCTAGGGTTCGTCGATGGTTCATTCAAATGCCGTCCTTAATTCTTAGGCACGGAGGATGGCTCTGTACTTTCCGATGCATTCACAATTTGGACGATTCATAACACAGCACTCATGACTTTGATTACTACGACG